AGATCTCTGTTTGCTGCCTCAGCTTTCTTGTCACATGACTTCTTCGACAGGAGGTAAGGGTCCGCCGCTGAACTCCGACACACTGGACCTCGTCGCCATCTCCTCATCGCTCAGTCCTCCGTTTAGTTTCTGCCGTTTTCACTCTCTCGGGATTTTCCGAACGGTCTAAGTGATTGTATTCCTCCAAAGCCTTTATCGATTTAGTCTTCACCGGCGACGAGAACAATCAACGGACATCATTTTTGGCATAAACCTACGTTTTCCCCTTTTTAAAAGATTTGTGTATCTTGGTTTGAAGATTTGGATTTGCTATGTTCCCAAACTCGGAAGACAGACCTAAGGTTATTGGAAAGCTCTAGCCTTGCATCGTCTGCCCCTGGTATAGGGTGTTTTGACAATGGTGCAAGTGCAATCAGTCTCTAAGCTCTAACTCTAGCCAAGTGCTAAGATCTTTCAGTGCTAGAGGTGTCACCGACAACCGCTAAAATCTTCCACGTCAACAATCCTTATCGACAAGAAGTTTGTTCTGGTTCACCGCATTACTTTTTAACTGGTGTTGATTTGAAGGTGGTGATAAGCATACAAGTGGTGACCATATCAACGAGTAGTTTGCTCTGGTTCATCACTTATTTTTACAAGTGTTGATTTGTTCAGAATATTTTACATCCCTCTAGAAGCAAAGTTTGTGGTGAATATATTTGGTTTTGGTCCATTACATTAGTTATTTAACTAGTGTTGATGCGTCCAATATACCTATAAAATTCTACAAATCATTATTTTTTTAAGATGAATGTGTTGGCATGGAATTGTCAAGGTGTAGGAGCCAATTTGACAAAGGAACATTTCGATGAGTTATATCACTGTTTCCGGCCAAAATTTGTATTCTTATCAAAAACAAAAAACAGCCGTCATGTTCTGAAAAATCTACAAGTTTCTTATGGATATGATCAAGTTTATACCATTGAGCCGCGTGGACGAAGCGGTGGCCTAGCACTTTTGTATATGGATGATCCTTCGGTTACCATCTTGTATGCGGATAATCATATGATCGATGTTGAAACTAGATTTGAAGGACATGAGATTTTTATGACTTTCGTGTATGGAGACCCTGTTGTTAGACATCGTGACCAAGTTTGGAACGATTGTCACGCATGAGTACAACACATAGTGAAGCTTGGTTTATGACTGGAGATTTTAATGAAATCACGGAAAATCATGAAAAGAGGGGAGGAAGATGCCGGTTAGAGAGTTCTTTTCTCCTTTTCCGAACCATGTTAGAAAATTGTGGAATGCTTGACTTCCCATACAAAGGAAACTCATTCTCCTAGGTGGAGAAAAGACGATCCGGAAAAGTTAAATGTAAACTTGATAGAGCAGTGGCAAACGAAGAATGGCATGCGTTATTTAGCCATTCAGTTGTAGAATTCCTACAATTATGGGGATCGGACCACGTGCCAGTCCTAGCACGGATTCAATCCAGTGTTTGGAGGACGAGAAAAAACTTCAGATTTGACAAGAGGTGGATAGGCAAACCCGGGTTTAAGGAAGCGGTAATTTCGGGATGGGGACAATTTGATGACACTTCAGTGTGGAATTTTCATCAAAAAGTTACCTCATGTCGGAACAAGATCAGTACTTGGAAAATAAATAATCCGACAAACTCAGCGGTCCTGATTGAAGATTTAAAAAATATGATTGATTTGGCCCAAGATGATGAAAATTCCACGACCGAGGAACTAGAAGATTTGAGGCGACAATTGATAATGGCATTTAAAGAAGAGAACACTTTCTGGGAACAAAAGAGTAGAGATCAATGACATAAATATGGGGACATAAACACAAAATTTCACAATGCCACTACAAAATAACGCCGAGCACATAATCACATCATAAGTATTAAAGACAAACATGGGAGGTTGGTAGAGAGTGAAATCGAGGTGGAGACCGTTGTTGATCAATACTTTCGTGACCTCTTCTCTACCTCTTCCACGACAGAGGTTGACACCTCCCTTCGTTTTATTACAGAAAACGTTTCCCAGGCCGACAATAGGTTACTCTTAGAGGTACCGTCGGAACAGGAGATTCGGAGAGCCCTCTTTGATATTAACCCGGATAAAGCACCAGGACCGGATGGCATGACTAGTAAGCTTTTCCAGAAATTTTGGAGCGAGATGCGGCAAGATATCACTAGACTGGTACAATATTTTTTTTGAGACGGGCAACTTTGATCCACTTTTGAACCAGACAAATATATGTCTTATTCCGAAAAAGAAGAAACCCCGGGAGATGTCGGAATTTAAACCTATTAGTCTCTGCAATGTTAGCTATAAGATTATATCTAAGCTATTATGCAAGAGACTTAAGAGGCTGATTTCGCGACTGATTTCGGAGACACAATCAGCATTTGTGGCTAAACGCTTGATCACTGACAACATACTGATAGCACAAGAGAACTTTCATACCCTAAGGACGAACCAAAGATGTAGAGAAGACTTTATGGCCATCAAGACCGATATGAGTAAAGCTTACGATAGAGTGGAGTGGAGTTTTTTGGCTTCTCTGATGTTAAAGATGAGCTTTGATGAAAGATTGGTTGACCTCATTATGTGTTGTGTCACGTCCGTCTCATATCAAGTTATAGTCAATGGACAACCGAGAGGCCGGATCTTACCAAGGAGGGGCCTGAGACAAGGAGACCCCTTGTCCCCTTTCTTATTCATCTTGTGTACAGAAGCTTTGATCTCGATGTTGAATGGAGCGGAAGTGGAGAGGAAGATTGTAGGTCTTCGGGTGGCACAGGCGAGCCCAAGGACCTCCCATCTATTATTTGTGGATGATAGTCTCTTCTTCTTCAAGGCGGAAGTAAGCTGCTAATGCAAGGAGATCATAGACATCATAGACATTTATGGAAAAGCATCGGTACAGAGATTAAATGCGGCGAAATCATCAATGTTCTTTGGGAACCGTGTAGAATACCTTCGGAAACAAGAGATAAAGGAGGTCCGGGGCTTCCCGGCTGAAGGAGGCATGAGGATGTACCTTGGACTACCTGAACAGATTTGTGGTTCAAAAACCAAAGTCTTTTCCTAAGTACAAGACCGGCTGAATGGACGAGTGAATAATTTGTCTTCGAGACTACTGTCCGAAGGGGGAAGAGAGGTTCAGATTAAAGCGGTGGCCCAAGCAATTCCGACATATCCAATGTCATGCTATTTGATTCCTCAAGGCATCACTCATAACCTACGAAGCACGAATTTAAATTTTTGGTGGAGCTCAAAACAGAATAACAGAGGTTTGCATTGGATACCATGGGACGAAATCTGTACCCCTAAGGATTTAGGGGGACTAGGATTTCGTGATCTCCATGATTTCAACTTAGCACTTCTTGCGAAACAATTATGGCGGTTGATACACTAGCCAAACTCATTATTGGCACGTGTCCTAAAAGGGAGGTACTATTACAACACCTCTCCTTTAGAAGACTGACGCACATATTCACCTTCATATGGCTGGCGTAGTATTATGGCAGAAAAACCTTTACTCCTTTTGGGACTACGAAAGAGGATTGGTACGGGTCGAGATACGAGGGTATGGAGTGAGCACTGGATCCCCGACTCAGTGGCCCGATCACCTAGGCCTGCCGATCATATTGTCTACAGACTCCCCAGCCTCCCGGTTCAAGCCCTTATTAGGAATGATACCAAGGAGTGGGATACACAGATTTTAAGAGAATATTTCCAGCCAGACGATATACCTTTGATACTTCGGCTAAAACCCTCATGTTCGTCTGCTCCGGATGGATATGTTTGGGACCACACAAAGACAAGAGTATACTCAGTTAAAACTGGCTATGACCTACTTCAATCGAATAAAAAAAGCCCTACACATGAATTGGTGCTCCAACCAAGCATCACAGGCCTCCAGATCCATGTGTGGAGGATAGAGGCTCCAAGCAAGATGAAACACTTTTTGTGGCAAGCTATCTCAGGCTGTGTGGCGACAACAGAGAGGCTCACCTACAGACACCTGGGCACCGATAGGAGTTGTCCTAGATGTGTTGGCCTAGTGGAGTCAATTAACCACCTTTTCTTTGAGTGTCCCCATGCCCTGCAGGTTTGGGCTTTATCGGACTATCCGTCCATTCCGGGTGTCTTCTCGAGTACATCTATATATCAAAATATAAACTTCCTTTTTGGAAGAGAAAAGAGGTGGCTCCACGGAAACCACAATTCGCCACCTTCCCATGGATCTGTTGGTACATCTGGAAGGCGAGGAACGACAAACTCTTTAATGGGAAAGTCGTACCCCCGATGGATACTCTTCAACATGCGTCTCTTGAGGCAGAATGTTGGAGAAAAGCGAATATGAGAGAGATAGTCGACGAGGCCTTTGAGGTACCTCCTTCCTTGGATATCGCGACAGAACCCCCTGGAACCCTGGAACCCCTGAACCCCGACATGCCAAGTTGATGCATCATGGATCAATCATGGCAGCGTTAGTGGCTTAGGGTGGAGTCTTAAGGATCAAATGGGCTATGAGTGGGTCGGACAACATGCGTGCAGGAGAAGCCATTCAGCTCTGTATGCAGAGATGGAAGGCCTACTCTGGACAGTCTCATGTTTGAGAGACTTGCGTATCAACTTGGTGAGGATTGAGACGGACTGCATGGACCTAGTAGCAAAATGACAATACTACTAAACAAGAAAAAAAACTTATAACCCAAAAAGAACCAAAGAAAACCGGGCTTTGTTTTTTCAGTGAAATTTAAGAATTACTAAATCTGCATATGTATTATGCTATTTTGCAAGTTATCAATCAAAACAAGTCTGCCAAGATAAATTTAAAATCTAAAACTAGAAATGGTTGGATTATATAAATAAGACCAAACCACACCAAATACATTATAATTAATTGAAAAATATTCACCTTTACATTTACTTATTGCATATTCATACATCTCTCTCCCTCCAGAAGAACACACAAACAAAAAAAGAAACACAATGGTGAACTTGATAGAGTCACAAAAACCATTGTTGCACGGTCTCATGAAATTAGCCGGTGTTGTTCCGTACACCTTAGATATAGAACCAGGAACGAAGATGAACTTCTGGATCCCCAAAGAAACCCTCAAGAAAACAAAAAAATCCGACAAAAACTCTAATGTGGAACTCAAGAAACCTACCAAACCAGCCATCTTGTTCATCCACGGCTTTGCAGCCGAAGGGATCATGACGTGGCAGTTCCAGGTCGGATCACTAGCCAAGAAGTACTCAGTCTATATACCAGATCTCCTCTTCTTCGGTGGGTCATACTCAGATAAACCGGACAGGTCACCAGCGTTTCAAGCCCACTGTTTGGTTAAGTCTCTTCGTCTCCTCGGGGTCGATGATTTTTTCCTTGTAGGGTTTAGTTACGGTGGCATGGTGGCTTTCAAGATCGTGGAAGAGTATCCTGAGATGGTTAGAGCCATGGTGGTGTCAGGTATCATGCGTAATTTATTTGAAAATCTATTGTATATACACAGTAATCTCATTCTTAATTTAATCCATATATAATATATATATATATACACAATAATAACTTATTTCTATGCCAGGTTCGATACTTGCGATGACTGATACGATCAGTGAGTCAAATTTGAACCGGATAGGGTTTAAGTCGTCAGCGGATCTCTTGTTACCAACCTCGGTTAAGGGACTCAAGACTCTCTTTGCTCTTGCTGTTCATAAACCCATGTGGTTCCCAAACCGGCTCTTTAAGGATTACCTAAAGGTACGTACCCGAAGTAGCAAGATCATTAGTTGCCGCGACAAAGATATTATGTTTTATTAGTTTTATAAATTTATCTATCATAATCACATTAGACTTCGGTCTGTGCAACAGCCTGCGAGTAAGATATTTAACTAAACTCAAGATACGATACTATACTAGTAGCTAGTTTGAGTAGTTCATTTTGCTCTAGTAACTTACCTATAATTTGAAAAAGAATGATACAAGAAAGACAAATTAGTTTATCAAAACGTATATAAATGAAATGTTGATTATAAAAGAAAAAAATAAATAGGATATGTTAGGATTTTTCGTTCAAACTAAATAAGACAAATTTGTATTATAATTTTTTCACCGGCATCTCTAATCATTAGTCTTCTGGGTGTAAATGTTAAATCTCTAATCATTAGTTCATAATCAATTTGATCTGAATCTGTTTGATCATTTTATATAGAAAAACAAATATACATTCAAATTTAGTTAATAATTTTATTGTAAAATGTGAAGGTGATGATTACCAACAGGAATGAGAGAGCAGAATTGTTAGAAGGTTTAGTCATCAGCAACAAAGATGTAACCATCCCTCGTTTTCAAAAGGTCGTGTAGACATGATTATCCGTTCAATACTCTTGTTTTTTAACTTATAGAAATCCATACATGAATAATTTTTAGTGTCTGATAAGTAATATGGATTATTATGTACGTAGAAATACTAAATATTCAAACTACCACAAAATTTAGATAAGAAAGATTACTAAAAACATTTGAAAAAAAAGAGATACTAAAACATTTGACCAGAAAAATAGATATAACTATTTTTCTTGGAAAAGAGTTTCTACATGATTTAGAGCATCTCCAATATATAATTCAATTTTTTTTTTCAAAATGAAGTAAAAGAGAATATGGAATAAAAATTCTTCAATCCACTATATTTCTTACTTCATAATGGAGTAATGAACAAAAAAAAATAGATTACTTCATTTATGGAGTAAACTTTACTATGTAGTGAAAAATGAAGTAGGGTTGATGAGTTGGAGATGTCTAGAGTCTTCCTAGATTTGTAGTAATGCTCCCAATAAATCATAAGGTTGTGGTCCGTGTTTTCACACCCGACCCGGATATGCGGTCGACCTAGATCTGCGGTCGACCCAGATCTGCGGCCAAACCGTTAAACCTGGTGACCCGATAAGTAATCCGGTTTGGGTTTTAAGAAATATCCACTAATTAAAAACTCAATAAAATCCACTAAAAACCCTTAAACTCGGTGATCTGGCTATCGATTAAACCTTTGGGCGAACCAGTGAGTTATTTTTATTTAGTTTTTGTTAGGTTTTAAATTATTTTATTAAATATTTTTTGTGTACCCAAAATAAGAAGTTAGATTGGTACTTTTTAATTTTTAGTTTTCTCATAAAATTATTGTTTTCCGTGCTATCGCATATATTCTGTGTCTCTTTTAATTTTCTCTTAAAACTTTTGTTGATTTTGTATGTCGTAAATAACATTTAACTTTTTGATTTTAATTTCTATGTTCTAAATTTTATCATATAAACTTCATTTTTATTCTAATCACATGTTTTTACTTTATTTTATTAATTTTACATGTTATTAAATAAATAGTGTTTTTGTTAATCAAATTTATTGATCTTATTTAATTTTTACAAGTCATATATAATATTGACTAAACCATTTATTGATTTTGATGAACATTGCATTATGCCTCTTAAAGAAAATATATTGAATAATGATAAATATCTAAAACTTGTGAGATTTAATTTTTTTTATGATTTAATATATGTCTCAACTCCTAATTTCTTATAAAAATATTATTAAACAGTCTAATCTAATTTTAAATATTTTATATGTGAAATACAACAAAAATAAAGAAAGTAAATTTACATATTTTCTATGTTTTTAAGAAATGTGAAATTTCTGCATTACTTATAATAGTTAATATATAATTATTTATTTAAATTAATTAATATATTAATTTGTGTTTCAACCGTGGTTGATCCAGTAATCCGATGATCCGACAAGGTGTTCGGTTCAGTGTCCGAGTCGGATTTCAAAATATTGTTTCTAAATTTTATCATATAAAATTCTAATCACGTGTTTTTGTTTTATTTTATTAATTTTACATGTTATTAAATAAATAGTGTTTTGTTAATCAAATTTATTGATCTTATTTAATTTTGAAAAATTATATATAATATTGACTAAACCATATATTGATTTTGATGAACATTACATTATGCCTCTGAAAGAAAACATATTAAATAATGATAAATATCTAAAACTTGTGAGATTTAATTCTTGTTATGATTTACTATACGAGACAACTGCTAATTTTTTTATAAAAAATATTAAACAGTCTAATATAATTTTAAATATTTTATATGTGAAATAAAACAAAAATAAAGAAAGCAAATTTATATATTTTCTAGGTTTTTAAGAAATGTGAAATTTATCCTTTAGTTTTAATAGTTAATATATAATTATTTATTTAAATCAGTTAATGTATTGATCCGTGGTTCATTTGTGGTTGATCCAGTAACTGGGTGATCCGACAAGGTGTCCGGTTCAGTGTCTGGGTCAGGTTTAAAAATATTGGTTGTGGTACTTTTGGAATGTAAAAATATGGCTGTAGCTGTTTTTTTTTTAAACAAAAAATATGGCATTCGTGAGGTTGTCATTTAGTTTTAATTTAGTTTGCAATAAATTGGATATAAGATCAGTTGGAGATATAGATTATCTCATGTAATCATTTATATGAAGTTTTTTCTTTGTTTTTGTTGATTGATATAATTTTACATTGCAACAAAATAAATCGGATATAAGAGGTGAACGAATGAAATAAGTACCAATTACAATACTTGGTGCGCGGGCAATGATGACCGATCTTAACTCCACAAGATGATTTACAACATTGGTCATGAACTCGGCACTCTGGAAACCTACGAGATCTCAGTCACTTCAGCCCGTATGAGAGTTTGTGTTATGGTCTCAGCCCCCTAATTATGGACTCCATCATTGACTTCGCATCTGGCGAAGAGAGTCTGATCTCTCTTGAGTATGAAGGATTGAGAAACCACTGCTCCCTCTGCTTCAGACTTTCTCACCTTAGCGTTGACTGTCCCTTTACTCAAAAACCAAGAGTTATGAACCCTAAGACATCTGAGGAAGCTCCTCCAAACAATAACAGCAGGAGCATGGAAACTGACATCAATGTCTGTCAACCGGAAAACCAGAGGAAGCTTCTCACCGCCAATAACCCTGCGAATGTCGGAGTAAACCCCCCCAACAAACGTCCAGAACCAGCATCTTTTTCCCGGAGACTTGATAGGCACGGCAGACCGTTTGGAGAAAGGGTATCTCTGCCTACTCCAAGGACACGGCCCCTCACTAATAAGATCACTCCTCGACACTCCCCGTACGCACCAAAGAGAAGTCATGTACCCAGAGGACATACTCATAGGGATCAACTGCCCCACTCCAATGCTCCCCGCTATCGCAGACCGGTAAGAAGTAGAAGTGGAAGGGAGGACTCCATACCACAAAGAAGGGAATCTCCTCCATTACACGTTCACAACCCTCCGAAAGATATACTACGGAGTCAGGGAGCGGAGCAAACAGAGGTGAACTCCCACCAAAATACTCACCAACAACTCAACATGTCGCCACCTTACACGACAAATAGGAGACTGCAGCTAACCTCTGGGAGTCGGAGAAGCTTTCCGAGGAGCCCCTCATTACCGCCAGCTCCGGATCTCGAACGTAATGACCCTTATCCAAAGGACGCCAGTAGCTATCAGGCTGATGCCCAAACATCGCGGCTACCACTGGAACGGAACCTCAACATCTCAGATTTCCCTCCCCCTCCTGGTAGGGTCCCGACAAGGGACGAAGTGATGGAAGAGCTTAGGACAATCACCTTTCGCTACACAAATGTCCCCGACCCTGTGGAAAGTGCTGCGCGTCGTCAAAGGGTAATTGATAACGAAGAACACGGGCTCATGGAAGCGACTGCAGCCCGTATCATTGCAGAGGCAGCAGCAACCTCCCCCGCTCAACAACTCATTTCGTTCCAACCCGAAGATGCAAACAACAACTCCGGAGGTCATGAGATTACCTTTGACCCACCATTCGAAGCAGGGCCTTCTCATCGGCATCTCTCCAATCAGGAAACAGCTAAAACGGGTCGCCCCCCAAGATCAAAAAGGCAGGGGCAAACAGCAAAAGGCCTCTTGGGTTCAAACCTGCGGAAACACAACTTGGCCCGCACTCAACTTTCCCCTGCAATTCGAACTTCTACAGAAGAGTTATAGGCGCAGGACAATGATTCTCCACAGCACTCCCGCCAAACACCAAGGAGGAGAGGAAGACGGAATGATCAGCATGGCCACACGGTGGATAGAAACAACCGAACACAGGGACAGGGACAGCGTAACCCCAACACCTCACAGCACATCGATCAAGGCTCTAACAATCCTGCCCCGCAGGTGGATTTTCACCACCTAGACCGGGCTCTTCCTTAGCTGTTGTAAGCTGGAACTGTTGCGGGTTGGGGAACCCTGAAACAGTCCAGCGTTTAAAGGATATATATAAATCTATATGTCCTCATATCTTGTTCCTCATTGAGACAAAAAACCCTGATGTTTTTGTGTTGAATGAACTTGAATCTCTACACTATGACAATCATCTTTTGGTATCACCACACAGCCCGGGAGGGGGCGGTTTAGCCCTCTTATGGTCCAACGAAGTGTCGATCTCTATTCTTGCGCAATCTCAGAACTTTATTGATACCTTTATCTCCTTCAAAGGAGCCACTTTCCACATCACTTTTGTTTATGGAGCGCCAGAGATCCCTCACCGGCAAGCTGTCTGGGATGCTATTTCTTCTTTTGGAGCCGGAAGATCCACACCATGGCTGTTGACTGGAGACTTTAATGAGATAATTGATAACTCGGAGAAAACAGGAGGAGCTACTCGGCCAGAGAGATCATTCTCTGCCTTTCGAGAATTCCTGGCACATAATGATCTCTTTGATCTACAACACACCGGAAATCACCTGTCTTGGCGGGGACTCCGGGGAAAGCATCTTGTGCACTGTCGCCTGGACAGGACTCTAGCCAATAGCTCATGGTATGACACCTTTCCCCAAGGGCGTAGCCACTACCTGAAGTTCCAGGGATCAGACCATCGACCTGTCTACTCGATGTTTGATGCGATGAAGAAGAAACTAGGAAAAATCTTCCGGTTTGATAGAAGACTCAAGGATGTGGAGGAGATCCGAAAGCTTGTGGAAACCACCTGGAACGCAGCTCACTCCCTTACAGTGGCCCAGCGAATCACAGCTTGCCGAAAGGCAATTGCAAAATGGAGCAGACTGCACCATACCAACAGCCGCAAAGCCATCGAATCTCTAAAGTCAAACCTCGATGCAGCAATGACAGCAGCAGCATCTGATGAAGATATTGCCACAATCAACAAGAAACTAATGGAAGCGTATAAAGCGGAGGAAGCTTTCTGGAAACAAAGAAGTAGACTGATGTGGTTATCACTAGGCGACAAGAACATAAGATTCTTCCATGCTGTTTCAAAAGGGAGGAAAGCACGTAATAGGCTCACAGTCATGGAAAATGGCGAAGGAGTTCCGGTGTACGAAGAGGAACAAATGGCCGAGGAAATTGCCCGATACTTCACTGAAATCTTCAAGTCAAATGGCACCAACGGGGAGGATGTTGTGTTTAGAGGCCTCTCCCCGATTATCTCACGAGAAACCAACCTCACTCTCACCGCCATTCCGTCACCAATAGAGATTAAGAAAGCTCTATTTGCTATCCACCCCGACAAAGCTCCGGGTCCGGATGGGTTCTCTGCCGCCTTCTTCCAAGCTAACTGGATGACAGTTGGTGAGGCTATCGTTGCGGAGATTCGCGAATTCTTCACTACTGGTCGTATGCCCGACACTATCAACATGACCCATGTGCGACTCATTCCTAAAGGTCAGAATGCAATGAAGGTGTCTGATTATCGACCGATTGCCCTCTGCAACGTCTACTATAAGGTCATTTCTAAGATCCTTTCCCTCCGCCTCAGACCTGTACTCAGCGAGATCATCTCAGAGAATCAATCAGCCTTCCTCCCCGGAAGAGCAATTGCGGATAATGTTCTAATAACACACGAGATCCTCCACTACTTGAAGGGATCGGAAGCCAAAAAACACTGCTACATAGCAGTTAAGACGGACATGAGCAAAGCATATGACAGATTAGAGTGGGGTTTTATTCGACAGGTGTTTGAGAGGTTGGGTTTCGATCCAGTTTGGGTGAACTGGGTGTTGCAATGCTTATCAACCGTGTCCTACTCCTTCCTCATAAACGATACCGCGCTCGGAGATGTGACACCGCACAGGGGTATCCGCCAAGGAGACCCCCTCTCTCCTTATATCTTTATCTTATGTGGAGAGGTCCTTTCCGGCTTGTGCAGGGCTGGGCAAGCATGTGGAGATCTCACTGGAGTTAAGATCGGTCATCATTGCCCGCGCATCAATCACTTGCTTTTCGCAGACGACACTATGTTCTTCACCAAGGCCTCGGAGGATTGCTGCAATGCTCTAACTATGATCCTCAGTGACTACGAAAGAGCTTCGGGCCAACTCATTAACGCCTCAAAATCCTCTATATCCTTTTCCTCGAAAACGCCACAGAGGACCCGAGACCGGGTCAAATCTATTCTTGGCATCGAGAAGGAGGGAGGAGTTGGGAAGTACCTTGGCCTTCCGGAGCTTTTCACCAGGAAAAAGCGTGATCTCTTCTCCTCCATAGTGGACAGAATCAAACTGCGTGCAGCCTCATGGTCCACCCGACGCATTTCCCCTGCCGGTAAACTCACGATGTTGAAATCGGTTCTATCCGCAATTCCAACTTATTCGATGTCGTGCTTCCAACTCCCAGTGGGTCTCTGCAACCAGATACAGGCTGCCCTTACTCGATTCTGGTGGGATCATGATCCAGATACGAAGAAAATGTGTTGGGTATCATGGGATTCGCTTGCCCAGCACAAAGACGTTGGCGGCTTGGGTTTCCGAGATATACAAGATTTCAACACAGCTATGCTGGCTAAAAACGCATGGCACATCTTGTCCTCACCGCATTGTCTTCTTGCACGACTCCTGATCGGGAAATACTACTACAGCTCCAGTTTTCTTTCAGCACCGTGCCCCCAATCATCATCGCACGGCTGGAGAAGTATTGTGGCAGGTATCCAACTGCTGAAACTACACTTAGGCAAAGTTATTGGCAATGGAAATACCACCAAGATCTGGACAGATTCCTGGATTTCCACCTCCGATCATATCATTCCCTTCGGTCCGCCGACTGAAGCCACGAGGGATCTCCATGTTTCCGACCTACTCCGCCGAGGCTCGGGAGAGTGGAATCACCATCTGATTGAGACCATCTTCCTTGAGCTAGCGTCTCAGATTTATCTCATTCAACCTAGCTTACTCAATGCAGAAGACTCCTTTACTTGGCACAAAACTAAATCAGGACTCTATAGCGTCAAGTCTGGATACTATGCACTGCGTGATCTGGCTGGGAACCAAACCTTACAACACCCTAATATTTTGGCCTTTAACTGGCAGAAGTTTATTTGGCGTGAAGAGACATCGCCAAAATTGAAACTCTTCTTATGGAAGTTAGCACACGCTGCTCTACCGCTAGGCGCAAACCTCCGACCACGTGGGATCAACACGCCAGGGCTCTGCCCTCACTGCAATGAGGACGAAACAGCTCTGCATCTGTTCTATCACTGCCTGTATGCTCAACAGCTTTGGGATCGTGCCCCTCTCCGCTCAAGACCAGACTTCTCCGCTATTGCATCACTCCATGACGCCTTTGTAGTCATGTCGACGTGCATCGCCTTGCCACCCACCGGCTTAGCAAGTAACTTCACCTCCTGGATCCTCTGGAATATTTGGACCTCACGGAATCTCCTATTGTTTGAGAATAGGAGCATTTCAGCGAAGACGGCGATTGACAGCGCTGTAATCTCCGGGCGCGAATGGAGTCAGGCCCAGGCTTTTGGACACCAGTCAACTTCTGTTACCCGCCATACTCAAGACCTTCCACCCATCCGACCAAATACTACCCTCTGCAACTCTGATGCTGCTTGGTCTTCTAGCTTTTGTAGAGCTGGTCTTGGTTGGTTTTTTGAGATTGCAGGGGGCGAGTTCACTAAGGAAAGCTCTCGGAAGGTTGATCATGTGTCATCCCCCCTTATGGCGGAAGCGCTGGCCTTAAGGGAAGCCATGATGGATGCCAAGCGCAATTCTCTTCTCAACGTCTGGTTCAGAACCGACTCACAGGAGCTCGTTAGAGCTGTCAACTCGAAGTCATATCCGGTGGTGCTTTTTGGAGTTCTCATGGATATCGAGTTTCTATCTTCTTTTTTCGATTTTTCTCTTGTTTCCTTTGTTGGTCGTGAACGGAATGTGAAGGCTGATTCACTTGCGAAGTCAGCCCTTCATAGCTCCTCTACCCTGCTGTACTGAACTCCGTTTAGAGATATATTTCATAATGTTGCCCAAAAAAAAAAAAAAAGTACCGATTACAATAAAAATAACATTATTTTCCAACATTTAATAAAATAATATTACATAGAATAAATTGCTTGTGGTTAAACTTTATCACGTGTTTCCCTGAAATCTAAGGTTGGCGTAAAGCATTATATTATTTAACTTTTTTTACTAAAAGTAGTACTGTTTTGTTTCTTTTCTCAAATTTCGTAATTTAAACGACTTCAATAAAAACATTATATATATACCACTTAACAAAGCGATATTAATTTTTGAAAGTTATGGTTATGCAGAAGATTCATGTTTTGTGGGGTGAAAGTGATCAAATTTTTAATCTTGAAATGGCCAAGAACATGAAAGAGTAAGTTTCATGCAATAAGTTTTATTACGTAATATTATTACTATATCGTATATACTTCTATTTCAATTCTGTGTTACAGGCAACTAGGCGAAAATGCAACAATGGATATTATTAAAAAGGCAGGTCACTTGGCACATTTGGAGAGACCTTGTGTCTATAACAGACGTCTCAAAAAGTTTCTTACTTCAGTTTTCTCCGAAAACTAGATTTAATTTAACGCATATATGATCCTCGACGTCAACACCAAATAAACCGCTTTCAAAAACAAAGAAGACCAAATAAACCCATTTGTCCTTTTTTTTCTGTGTGTTTTTTTCTTTCTATTTCAAAAGTTATGTAACCTTATATATTTGTTGAAACAGTACATTTAATCATACTAGGGGGTTGTCCGCGCTTCGCGCGGAGTTGCTGTTTGGGATAAACCATTGGTTGTGCTCGAATTGTAGCTGATAATAGCAAATATCATTCCATGTGTAACTGCAGTCTTTGGCTATAACAACCAATAATTCTTAGAGTAATGGTATTGAGAATACTCTAGGTTTCTAGAAGCCGTTGCCTATTGTGGCGTAACTTCTCTCTCAATTACCCATTCTAATGTTGGTCTTAGCGCAGTTGTTAATAATTAATGATGTGTTCCTTGTTATTTCACAATTGTTTTGTGCTAGATAAATTATTTGTTTAACCAACCATGAGGAAAATATTATAATAACTAATTTTTAATAAAAGTTTTAAAGTGGATATTATTTCAAGTTACTAAGAATTTAAACTATGTTATATATCACAAAATCAAAATGTTACTACAAAACATAATCAAAACGAAGAAAAATATTTAAACTTTATGGTGGACTAATGGTCCTAAGTTGTTAAGCGAAAAAGTGTCCTAACCATTATTCGGAAAAACATAATGTGAGTGCACTGACTGCATGCAGGAAACGATATCTTGTTTCTCTATAGTGCTCCATGCTGGAAACTAAGCTTTGAAGGCCTTCTTAGATGGGTTTGCCTGGTGGTGATCCTTGTGGATCAGCATTCTCACCATTGGACTCCACTTGGTCGGTGTTTGATACTACTTGCTCAGCATTTGTAGGTCCAATGGTCTGGTCTTTAGCTTCAGGAGGATGAGTGTCTCTTGAGGAGGAATTACAGACACGATACTTGCAAGAAGTACAACTTGCTTCAGACATATCGTTGTCAGGATTGTTTCCCTATACCTTTTAGTCAAACAGTTAAATATTAAGTAGTTTACTGTTTAATAAGACCCAGAAGGCGAGAAATAATTTGCTATGACTTACATGCAATGCAAAGGTGGGTCCTGTGATTCTCTGATTGGGGTGGGGACAGTGAATGACTTATGGTGTAAAGAAAGTTAAACTCCGTAAGCTTATGATGAAATGTGTAGCTCTTCCCAATGATTTTCTGGAGGAAGGGAGATCATATCCTGCTGGGTCTTGCTCACAATGGCCCTAAAGTAAAGCTAAACACATGTCAACGGTGGGTGATGCTCAGAATATGTTGATGTCACTCACCATAGGGTTAGAATCTTTTGTGGCCCTTACATTGGTGAGCTTAGTCATAGCTGAATCAAAGGCAACAAAGACACTCGATTCTTCTCTAGTCACCGCTATCATCTCAACACGGTACCTTTAAAAGCATCAAATTTTGAATGTTAACAAATTAGTGAGTAAAAATAACCAAAAGATTTATGTAAAGTTTGGAGGTTTAAGATAATCCTTAGGAGACTACCTAACAACTCCAACAGAACTTGCATATGAACTTTGGCAGTCCATATGAACTTAATATTTTGCGTTTAAGTGAGTTATATGGGTTTAATGTCCTGACTCCGAGTATTAGGAAGCTTGAGTAGGTGTTAAATCAGAGAACATAGGCGTTCAACTCTGGTAATGAAACAGTCTCCAGCTTCTTGACTCCACCGTATTTGGTACCACTGGTGGAGTCACTTTCGGGTGTGGCACACAACCTAGAAGTAGGATGTACGAAAAGCATGAGAAAGACATATAGAACATGTTATATCCTATACACTATAATGAAGGGCCTTATCATCGAATAAAGCCTGACTGGCTACAACTCCAGAGAGTCAAAAATGGTTTTAGTTAGTAAGTGGGAAAGAAGAAGAATCATATTTCATCTCCAGAGATTCATTTAACCGTATCTTCAGTATCTGCAGATTCATAGTTTCGTTTTTTGTCCTTCCAGGCTGTATAATGACCTCCCCCAAGGATGATTACTTGATCTATAGCACACTTGAAAGGTTCTTTAGTCACCACTGTCATAAAATACATGCGATGATGCATTAGCAGGATTTGCAGTTTTAATAAAGAGAAAGCTAAAAGAAAGAGAGTTTTTTTTAAAAGGACACATACCTTGTGCCAAAACCTAGCAAGTGTAAAACATCATGCTCAGCACCACTGACGTATACATCTACTGGACTCCAGTATCTGCCACATGAATAAAAACCCTTGTAAGAATCTTTCTGAAAGTAACAGAACGTTACTTAAACAGAAGGTTATATTACTGCATTCTGTTAAAGGCTCTCACTTTTTTTAATCTATGTCAACTAATGCTTCAGGTTTTTTTTGGATCCAGGAATCTCAGATAATACTAAGAGATCAAAAGACTATCATGAACAAAAGGTAGCAGAAAATCACGTACCTTTAATTTAGTGTCTCACCACAAAACTCAACCCCCTACGACTACACATCCTTTAAATTTTTGGGAGTACCACATAATAATAATCATATCAAAGTTAACACTGGTCAGAACTGTCATGTAACGTATAATCACTGATTTTGGAAGTGTTTGTCTGAAAGGTTTAGCAATCTGAGGAAATTGAAGATACTATGAGATCTGTCTAGAGCATCTGGACGATAAATATATACTTGATAGAGAAGGTAGAGAATCTGAATTTAAGAGTATATAGTAGGTAAAATTGATTATTTGTTTACCGAGAGAATATTCTATTCGAAAACTCTATTCCTTCACATAGACTAAAACAACAAACCACTTGTTAAAGAAATGAACTGATTTTTTCAATTTTAAAACCTAAAGCAACCAAAACCAATTGACATGTGTTTAGATTTTCCTAAAACCGATCTTAGAAACAAAAAAACACAACCAAAACTAATAGTCATATTCACTTGCACGTTCCGTTTCAATTACAATTATGGATTCGTATGTTTTGAAAGATTATTTGAGCATATATATGACCACTACTGCAGAAAACGATGCTGAGATATCTACTGCCGCATGTTGAAGAATATAAATATATTAGTATTTAGATATATCATGAGAAGTTTAGTTTGTAAATACATTGGCATCTAGATCGACGCCCATCAATTAGGCTCTTTCTTTGACATTCCTAGTCTCCCAAAAACTGAGTAGTCTCGTCTGAACCACCTCCTCATATCAACCTGCCTTCAGCTCGGAGAAATTAAGTTGGGAAATTGTCAAAAATTGCATGAGAGTCAAGTGAAGATGATTTGGAAAAAGTAGAGCAATTGAAGAGGTAAGTGAGAAGGTATATATGCATATTGGGATAAACTTAAGAACAACTAATTGATGGCACAATGAAGAGGAGATAGTGGGATTGGTGGGATATGTGGATTGAATGCCATAACGAAAGAGCGTTTCTTTGCCAGAGAATAGGAAAGGGGATCGTTAGGTTTAAGCTTTGTCTATCCCGTCGATTGCAGAATTAGAGTTAATTAATGATGTCACTTAGTGGGCCAAATTATACCAGGATAAAAGTGAGTCCATGACCAGCTTTTTTTAATGAGACAGCCCAAAAAAATCTACATCATCGAAGCCTTTTTGGTTAACATACAAATCGACTTAACAAAATTAAACACGGGAGAAAAGGTTGGAGAGACGCTGACACGTGGCCAAAAAGCCCCCTATGTTAAAAGTGACGTGGACAGCTTAAGGGAGCAGATAAGCCTACTTTATTATTATAGATAGATATGTTTTCTATGATTTTGGAAATTCTGTTACTATGCAGACGTTTTTGATTTTTCTACGAGTGAAGAGAGTGAGAGGCCTTTAATCAATTGGGTCTATTTCAGTGATGGCCTAGTTACACATATGTTAATGGGCCAGAGTAGTTTTTTCAGTTTTTTTTCCTATGGTCCCTATCGAATTCTTTCACTTGCATCAAGCAGCAAATTATATAAAAACAAATTTTGAATAAACCTAATTAACTTCATTGATCAACCTGCATGTAGCAATAGTTATTATCTAGGTTTAGTCACATCAATGATTCATACGACATACTTCCTCAAAATAATACTTGTTTTAAACTTTTCACACTTATTAAAAGAATATTAAAACTTGGTTATTAATATATAATAGATTTTTTTTAATTTTATATTTTCCATATTTTAAACTAATAAGATTTCAAGAAATACAATTAATGTTTGTGAAGTTTACATTTTTTCATTATTAGTTGATAAAAATGCAATAAAAATCTAAAAATATATCTTTTTGAAACACAATATTTTTAGAATATGCATATTTTTGAAACAGAGAAAATATATACATAAATGAATATGCAGAGCCAATAATGAAAGGTAGTTTACCTATACATAAAACACTGATTGTAGTATTAAATAAACATAATTATAAACAGATCGTATATATATAGTAATAAATTAATGTATGAATATTTAAATATTTCCCCTTATCTAATTACTCGGAAATTGATCCATAACAAGTTGTCATTGCCGACAAGTTTAATAAGAAAAAGGTTAGAAAGAGATTCTAAGCCATTAACATTAACAATTCATCTTAATACAGAAAATATTCTGCTGCCAAATTTCTTCCAACTGTTAATCTTGATGCATTACCCCTGGTCGTCTGTTTATTATGTTTATGTTTTTAACGTCGATTAACTTATGTTCTTAACTATATTAAACTATGTTTTATATATTACTAGGGTCGGCCCGCGCTACGCGCAGGATATTTACTTCGATTGGTGTTGAAACAAAACTATTTGTGTGGTCTAAGATTTTCGATAATTTGTTTGCATGAAACTACATGTCATGGGATTTTGGCATATCTATCATTGTTCTTTTGAGGTTGTGATGTTTGATTCACTTTTAAATTTTGTGTTTAGCAACTTCAAGGTTTGATTGAATTTGTTAATTGGTTTGGTTTCTTTTCATGGTTATATGTAGGCATGTTTTTTTTTTTTTACTTTGTGAATTAGTATACAATAGTATGATAATTGTGATTCTGCGTTGTTGGCTTGAAATTAAATTTAGGATATATGACTTTTATTGTACGTAATTTGAATTTCATTTATAGTGGAGATGATAAAAGACACAAACATTTAATTTGATTTTCATGTACTTCTATATATTTATATATTACTGTTAAGCATATCAAATAATTTTTTCTCAAACAGGCTATAGATGCAATATATCGGCTGACTTAGTTATGGATTTCAGTTGGTTTCAACATGATAAAATATTGGTTTTCACCCTATGGCTGATTAGGTTGTGTTTTTGGATAATTTCGGAAAATTTAGGTTAAAGTCAGTTTTTTTGTTATTTTGGATTAAATATCAGATAATTTTATTTTTAGATATATATTACCTAGCTAATTCAATTCTTCTGGTTAATTTGAATAATTTACAAATATTTATGATAAAATAACATTCGGGTAATTCGTTCGTTTCGTGTGTTTCAGTTAATAAGTAGTTTTTTTAAAAATAATTGATAATTAGAAAAATAATCATAGCTAAAAAATATTTAGGTATATTAACTATACTTTAAATACTCGGTAACTCATTCGGTTTCGGTTTAGTTCCGACCTTTTTCATTTTTTGTTTTTCTACTTTACAATATATGAAACGTTTGGTTATTTCTAAAATTTGTTCCGGTTTCAATTTGATTTAAGTAACAATGTTATGAATGTAGTAATGTCTGATAAAATATTGCTTCCAATTCGGTTCTGGGTTTTCGGAAATTTTTGATGATTCGGATAATAAATGTGTTTTTGGACAATTGGATTAAATATCAGACAATTCAGATAAATTCAGATAGTTTTAAAATATTTTGGATAAAAATGTTAGGATAATTTTTTTTTCTGGTTGTGAGTTTATAAGTAGTATTTTAAAAATATTTGGTAATTTTAAAACTAAAAATATTTGGTATTTTTCTTGGTTCAGATTCGGTTTGGGATTTTTTTGATTCCATATATATGTGAACTGTTTGGTTATTTGTGAAATCAATTCGAATTTGAATTCATTTTTTTTTCTGTTTTGGTTTGGTTATCAGTCAATACTAAAATAAATTAATACTAAGTAAGGATAATCACTATTCAATTTATTTTGTGGAATTTTATATCTAAAATTTTTACACAGCTAATTTTTTTATATTTTTTTGAAATTATATGAACCAATTCTTTGTATTCATCTGCTACATTTTGTGAATTTTTCCAGAACTTTGATCATGGCTTTTAAATTCTCGAATTGCTATTTAAGCAATGTCTCTGACCGTGTTACACATCCACCAGAGTTGGTTATTCAATATCTAGTACCTGGTGTGCATCTTCTAAGTCTTGGATCATACTTTTTGATCGCTTGAGTCCAACTCAAGTTAGGTTTTTTTCCTTGAGCTCAAACACCTGTTTTTCAGCATCCTCATCTTTGATCCTTTGCCTCTTTTCCAAGTATTGAGTCTTAGATTTTGACGGTTTAAGTTGCAACCCAAGTTGTGATTTACGTCTCTGCAACTCACTCACCTCTTATGATACATCTTTTATATTATTT